GGACTGGAGATTGAGCTATTTGAGTGTGGTGTAACTTGCCTTTAATACCAATCCTCAAGCAGTGGCAGGCTGGTCTATGTGAGTTCTAGGCCAGCCTGGACAACATAATGAGTTCTGGGCTAGCCCAGATTGTATATGATGAAATACTTTTGCAAAAGTCCACCCACCAAAAAATGGGGATGGGGGATCTTATCCTACCATTTTGTAGATGAGGAAGTTGAAGTACAGAGAGGTACTGTGTCTAAAACTGAACCCTAATCCATCTTCTTGGGAAATGCTACCTACTCTGTGTGTGTGTGTGTGTGTGTGTGTGTGTGTGTGTGTGTGTGTGTGTGTGTGTGTGTGTGGTGTGTGTTTTGTGTGTGTGTGTTAGTCCGTGCTTCCTTGCTTAAAAATACTATACCAGAAGATTAAATTTTTTGATTTTTACCCGGTTGCCAAAGGAGTCCTTATATAGTATACAAAACTTAAAGCTATGAAGATTATTGGGGTTGCTCTCATGAGAGTAGTTTTGGGTGAAAGTTTGAGAAAATTTAGTATATAGACAGATGGAAACAAGAAGTTTATTGTTGTTATTTTTTGTAGACTATGAGAAGACAACGAAACGAAGTTGTAGTTGAATTAAGGAAGGTAAGTATGGCTTACAGTAATTGGTATTATGAGAAATAATCCTGATAACAGTGTATAGAAAATATTAAGAATTATATCTTTTGTAAAATATACTACCTGTTGCATAATGAATTGTATTTATTGAATATAGTCAAGCATTTTCAGTCTCAAGTGCTCAACAACATTTCTTTTTTTGTTTTTTTGAGACAGGGTTTCTCTGTAGTTTTGGAGCCTGTCCTGGAACTAACTCACTTTGTAGACCAGGCTGGCCTCGAACTCATTGAGATCCACCTGCTTTTGCCTCCCAAGTGCTGGGGTTAAAGTCGTGCACCACCGCAGCCTGGCTTTTTTTTTTCCTCCTAACAAGTTTTTGTTTTTAAATAAGTCTAGAAAGCTGTTGAAATTGGCAAGATAAAATTTGCCCACTTTCCACTAATAGATATGAGCAAGTTTACTTTTTGTAACTTTTAATAATTTGTGTAAAGTCTAATCTAGGTAGTAGTTGTACTTTGTTAATTTGTTACATATTAGTTTTATTAAAGTAGACTAGAGTTGAGAATATAATTTTTGATTTGCCCCAAACATTTCAAGTAAAATTGAAACGGTCCTTGACTTTTATTAATTTGCCTAATTTTAACTGCCCAGCTTCTGCTTTGATTCTGCTTTTAGATAATAGTCACTTCCAGATAATGGTTTACTACCTTTGAGTGGAGGCGGGCTTAAACTGTACATTAGCCATTTTAGTAAAACTATTTTCATTTGTTTTTACAATAGTTCACAGTTCATTAGAAATGAATAGTATTTGTGATTTGGGACTCAAATTAACTTATTTCGAAATTTCATATTTTTTTGCATTTGTTTTTACATTTAAAAGGTACTTCATTATTTTAGTTTGTAGGCACAGGATTGCTTAACTTTTATGAAAATAGTTAACTGTTTTTCTTTTGCTTATCTGAAATTGTTTGACTTTTTTCTTAAAGAATAAAAGAGATGAACATCTCTTAAAGAGAAGGAATGTACCACAAGAAGATATCTGTGAAGATTCTGATATAGATGGTGATTATAGAGTGGTAAGTTATTCTGGTATTCTTAGACTTCCAGTAGATTTTTATGAATACAACATTTAAAGATGACCTTTTAACTTTGTTTTCTCTTTAACTTCTTGCCAGCAAAATACCTCTCTAGAAGCTATTGTTCAAGTAAGTTGGGTTTTATTTACCTCTCTTTGTACTTTCTGAACAAAACAACTAATTACTGTGTATCCATGTGATAAATTGTTCTACTTTTTTTTTTTTTAGAATGCTTCAAGTGATAACCAAGGAATTCAATTAAGTGCAGTTCAAGCTGCTAGGTGAGTTAAATGATCAAATTTAAGTTCTTCAGGCCCTATTTTAGGTAGCTAAGTGCTTATATTAGTGCTACATTAGTCAAAACTGTAAATTGAATTATAAGCGTAATGTATCATGTATAACAAGTATACATTAAGTGTATATTGCTGCATATACACTAGTATTTTTCTAAGCCAGAAATGCCAAATCTTTTGTACATTTCAGTTGTGAAACCTGTGTTGTCATATTTTTAGGAAAAAGCCAGAAAAACTTAGTGAGGAGCTGAGGAGATAGCTCCACCTGGAAAGTGCTTGCTGTGCAAGCTCGAGGACCCAAGTTAAGTCCCCAGAACCCATGTAAAAAGCTGAACATGTAGTGCTGGCCTGTAATCCTAGCACTGGAAGTGGAGAATAGACCTATCCTTGGGGCTCCCCTGGCCAGGCAACATAGCTGACTTGGTGAGGCCTGGGCCAGTGAGAAACTCTGTCTCAAAAACAAGGTGGGTAGCTTCTGAGGAATGGATTCTGAGGTTGACCTCTGGCTTTCACATATATGTGCATGCACACATACATGAACACACACATACCCAATTTATTATTGAGAAAGATCTTTGAATTAACTAGTATATTGAAGAAGATATGGTTATATTATAATATAATGGTTGCTTTTTATATTTATAAATTTAAAAGGATTGTTCGTACAAAAATATTTCAAGAAGATACTGGTTGTAGTTGGTAAGATTTCAAAGTACAAAAAATTTTCACAGATTTATGTAATATCAAATTGTGAATCTTTTATGTTGCATTACATGTCCTACTAATGTGTATTTACGGTAACTAAGACAAATAGGGAAAATGTAGCACTACATTATTGTATCCCATAGACTAAAGATACTTAGAGTTTGCTATAAGAGAGATTATGTTTTGAAACAGTAAATTCGTGTTTGTGAGATTAAGATGTGAATTATGTGGGTTCCAGGGAAATCCTGAGCCAGTTTCAGGGATATGTAAGAACAAACTGATTTCAAGATAATTTTAGGATTTATTGAACAATGTTCCTGCAAAAAAAGAACTACAGGTAAAACTATTGGAGCCTTAATACAAATAAAGTCTCTGGCACCAAAGTGATTCATATTCTTATTTTGTAGCTATTGTACTCTTTATTATCAAATAAGAAAAGCAGGGTCTGGAGATACGGCTCAGTGCTTAAAAACATCTGCTGTTCTTGCAGAAGACCTGGGTTGAGTTCCCAACACCCACAGCTCACATGGCAGTTCACACCTGTCCACAACTCCCAATTTTAGAGAACCTGATAACCTTTTGACTTCCTTGGGTATGAGGCACACACATGTGGTGCACAGACACACATGCAAGTAAAAAACTCATATACATAAAATAAGTAAATCTTTTAAGAAATTAAGGGGGACCAGCCGGGGTGGGGGAGGGAGAGAGTATTGGCATGTGAAGCAGGCTTGTTTCTAATTTGAACTAATCAAAATATAATTTCTAAAAAAAAAATCTTTTAAGAAATTAAGATTTAAAAAATAAAAAAGAAAGAAATTAAGATAAAAGCCCCTGATCTTATTCACTCTTGGGCTAAGCTCTGTGCCATGAATTTTGGACAGTATTATAAAAATGCTATGCAATAGTATTTTCTTGATTTTAATAGAATATTTTTATTCTTTATAGGAAAATTTCTTACATGCATACCATGTATTTTGACCATATCTACCTCTCACTTCTCTAACTTCTCTGACCTCCTCCCAACAGATCCCCTTTCTAACGTCATGTCTTCCCTTTTAAAAAGAGTTCCCTTAACCTACTGTGTCCAATTAGTGCTTCTCATCTACTGGGGCTTGGGCAACCTACCAGTGGCCACGCCTCCAAAAAGAAACGACTGCCTCTCAATAGCCATCAAATGCCAACAGCTCTTTAGCTAGGAGTGAGGCCTTGTGAACCCCTCCCTCATCTATGCTGGAAAGCTTGGTCTTGTGAAGGTAACCATACCTGTTGTGAGTTCTTGAGTGCCATGGCCATCTTATGTCCTGAAGACAGTATTCACAGCACTGTTCTCAGTCCTCCAGCTTTTGCATACTTTCTTTACCTGTTTCTGTGATGTGCACTGATCCTTGAAGAGAGAGCATGTTGATAAAGATGTCCCATTTTGGACTGAAAACTCAACAGTCACTTATTCTCAATACTTTGTTCAGTTATAGATCTCTATATTAACCATTACAAAAATACTTCTGACCAAGCACATATCTATGGGCAGAAACATAAATATTTATAAGGCAGTTTGGGAACATGATGATTTGGCTGAACTACAATTGTAAGTTTACCCCTAAGAACTATAATCTCCCTAACCATCGGCTTTTGACCAGGTTTGTGATAACTGATAAGAATTTCTTCTATGGAACAGGACTCAAATCCAATGAGAAAGGAGTTGGTTGCCCTTTTTAACAATCAGGCTACCATTGCATCAGTGGGTACATTTTTCTTGGCATGTCAGTATTGTCCCATACTGATTACAGCCATTAGTGTCTGTTCTTCTCCACCCTGCCCACCCTCCATCCCCAGTGGCCTACATTGTCCTTCCCACACTATGAAAACTAACTAATACAGAGGAAGTTTCTGGGTCAGTTCCAGATTAATTTTTCATGTCCTACCTGCAAGGTATAATATAATTTCTTCCTCAAGTTTAGATTCTAGCCTGAGGATATATAGCTCAGTTGGTAGAATGCTTACCTGGTACGTACAGATTTGATAGCAAGCTCTGTGTAAAACATATCTGTAATCACAGTTCTTGGGAGTAGAAACAGGAGGATCAGAAATATATGATCATCCTTAGCCCCATAGGAAGTTTGAAACCTAGCCTTGTATATATGAGAACCTGTCAGAGAGGGGGGGGCGTAATTGTTTAGGATTTAATAGTGATGGGCTGGAGAGATGGCTCAGTGGTTTAGAGCACTGGCTGCTCTTCCTGAGTTCAATTCCCAGCAACCATATGGTGGCTCACAACCATCTGTAATGAGATCTGGTGCCCTCTTCTGGCCTGCAGGCACACATGCAGACAGGACATTGTACATAATAAATAAATAAATCTAAAAAACCCCAAGAATTTAATAGGGAATGCAGAGCTATTCTCTGGCAAAGTACTCGCAGAATACTGTAAACATAATAAATAAAACCTTTATTTATAAATAAATAGTGGCACCCAGCAACAAGTGTGGGACTGTGCTGTACACATACTGTACCTGAGAGATGGTATGGAACCTGAAATAAATAAATGACTAGCCATTCCTATTGAGAGTAGGATACAAAGTGCTTAGAGATGAGATCACAGTGATACCAGGCTTCAGTTAGATGAGGTGTGGAGCACCTTATGGAGCAGTTGAAAGGTAAGACAAGGAGTTTTATATTCATAGGATAGTAAATAAATAACTGTCCCTTATATAGGGACAGTTTATATAGGGTGATGCTCTGATAAGATTTTCTTAAACCTTATATTTATATAGTTGTACATCAAATTCCAGTAAGAAGATTTATGTTAGTTATTGTTGGGCTTTCATGATATTTTATAGGATATAGAGTGGGATGAATGAATGTGACCACTTTAAGCATACCACCCTTTGGACTCTTAGCCTTTGTAGGGCCTGATATGCCTAATTTGAGACATTTTGAAAACGTATTAATTCTTTTTTAGCAAAGTAAATGTTATGTTGAAATTTGTCTACCTGTTCTCTAAGCATAAAATTAACTCCGAACATAGCACATACAAAAACTTTTAGTTGTGCCATACCTTTAATCCCAGCATTCAGAGACAGAAGCCAGGACTACATAGTAAGAACCTGTCTTTAAAAAAAAAAAAAAATTAGTTGCCTTTTTAGTTGCTATATTCAGAACTGTGTTGAGGGAATAGTGTTGTATTATTAAAAGTGGCAAGATGTCTACCAAAATTTTCTAATTATTGGCCCTATTTATAAATTTAATTTATTAAAAATCTTTTCATGATTAAAGAAAATAAATTGCATTACTTGAAATATAAGAAGTAATTTTCAAAGTGTATACTTATGCCATCTCTTCAGATTTACAGCAGTACCTATATATCCAATGTGAATTTGAATTTAGTTGTAATAATATATATCATTAAGTTTTACAAGAGGTATCTGTCTTACAGGAAGCTTTTGTCCAGTGATCGAAATCCACCAATTGATGACTTAATAAAATCTGGAATATTGCCTATTTTAGTTCATTGTCTTGAAAGAGATGACAAGTAAGTATATAATTATTGTTGTAAACTAGAATGTGTTCTTTTGCAAGGGTAGATTTTCTAATTTAATCTAGGAAAAAGACTCAAGAGGTAGTGACAGGAGGGTCAGAAGTTGAAAGTGATCCTGGGCTATACATAATGAGTTTGGGACAATCAAAAGTAAAGTGTTACAGGATAGAATTGAAAGTTAAAATCAAGAATCAAGGTAAGAACCAAAAAAAATTTGAAAATTATTTTTAATGTGTGAACTTTGAAAATTGGCAAGATAAGTATTTAAAAACTGATGAATAATATGAAAATGTCTGTTTCAGTAAAGATATAAATAAAACTACTAAGAAGGGACATTTGGGGACATGTCTGAACTTCATAATGAAATGATTGGGTTGTTATGTTTTTAAGGATAGATGGATAAATCAACTTGAGCAACATTTTAAATACTGAAGGGAAGAAATGGTTGGTAGTCAGTTGGGTGAAGTGAAATGTGTGATTTAAAAATCTCTTGTTCTTTGGTAGTCCTTCTTTACAGTTTGAAGCTGCATGGGCTTTGACAAACATTGCATCTGGAACTTCTGAACAGACACAAGCAGTGGTTCAGTCCAGTAAGTTGTTAATTAGCAAAATTGTGATTTATTTATTTATTTATTTATTTATTTATTTATTTATTTATTTGAGACAGGTTCTCATCATTGGTAAAAAATAAATTGTGATGGCCAAGCATAGTGGCATATGCTTTTAATCCCAGGCTTTGGTTAGCTGACATAGAAGGATCATGAGTTTGAGGCCTCATCTTATAAATAAATAAATCTATAGATTCTCCTAAAAGATATAGTTAGTATCTACCGATAAGACAGGGTTGTTGAAACAGCTGCCTTGAGTATGTTACCTTACTCATCTTGTTTTATTGACTGATAAACCCATTTGCCAAAGTCCTTTTGATTCCTTTGATTCCTTTCTGTATGATTTAAAAGAGCAGAGCACATACATTATTCAACTAGTAAGTATGTTACATCTTAATGTGTGTGATATTAGTTAGAAATTACCTGAAATCCTCCTAAAACTGGTTTTGTTTTATTGGATAGATTTTATGGTCCTATCAGTGTGTCACATTTTCTTTCACTTTTTTAAAACCATTTACTTTTTTTGTTATGTTTTAAGTTTTTTAAGTTTAAGTTTTTTTAAGTTTAAGTTGTTAAGTTTTTAAGTTTTTTAAATATTTTTATTTTATTTACATTGGGTTTTGGCCTGCAGGTATGTGTGAGGGCACCAGATTCTCTGGAACAGGAGTTACAGGCAATTGTAAACTGCCATGTGGGTGCAGGCAATTAAACCCAGGTTCTCTCAAAGAGCAGCCAGTGCTTTTAACAGCTCCACCATCTCTCCAGCCCCACATTTACTCTTTTATATAGTTCTTTTTTTTTGGTTTTTCGAGACAGGGTTTCTCTGTGTAGCTTTGGAGCCTGTCCTGGCACTCCCTCTGGAGACCAGGCTAGCCTCGAACTCACAGAGATCCGCCTGCCTCTGCCTCCCGAGTGCTGGGATTAAAGGCATGCCCGGCCTTTTATATAGTTCTTAATGACTAGGAAGAAGCTGAGTTTTTTTGTTTTGTTTTGTTAAAACAGGGTCTCATGTAGCCCAGGCTGGACTCAAACTCACTATGTAGGTAGGCTAGCTTTGAACTGCTAATCTTCCTGCTTCCAACCTTCATCTAAGTGCTAGGATTACAGGTGTTTTCTACTTTGGATTTGTTTATCATTGCTATTTTATATGGTATCCAAAAATCATAGATAATCATGAGCATGATTGATCTGCATACTTATAAATTATGTAGTGTTCTTTGGAGTTCTGTCTAAAGACAGGAAGAAAAAAGCCAGTGCATGTTAGTGTGCTCAGGTATGTGGAGACCTGTTTCTGTGTTTGCTATCCACTTAAGCAACAGAATCACCAGCCTAAGAACTCAGATAGTGTTAATTTAAATTTCCCTATCTAAAAATTGTTTAAGCAAAGCAAGCGAGATGGCTCAGCAGAGAAAATACTTCCTGCCAATCCTTATAACCTCAGTTAACTCCCTGGGACCCTGATGGAAGAAGGAAACAATTGGCTTTTGCAAATCGTCCTCTGACTTATTTATGCACACCCATACACACCTCACGAGTACACCCATATACAGCCATATTATACCACACATACTCAAATACAACAAACACAAATACAACATTCACACATATACACCACATACGTGCACTCATGTATACCATGCACACCATTAACATACATACACACTTTCTTTCTCAAACTAAATACTATAAAAAAATTTCAAAAGGCAGAACTTGCCTAAAAAGTTGGGCTTTTTCTCTGAGTTTGAAGGTAATACTTACTCTATAAGGAATTAATCTTGAAATTGGAATTCTGTCTAAGCTAGAGCCATAGTGCAGTTTTAGACTATGAGGACAACTTACAGAGTGCATTGGGTTCAGTCCAAGATTGTGAATGAAACAGGGAATTTAATTTGGAATTGTTTATATATTAAATTTTACTTTGATGTTTTCCACAAAAAATATTTAACAAAGTGATGTTTTAAAATAGTTTTGGTAGTTTGTATAATCTTTTGTTGGGGTCTCAGTCAAAAAAGAATTGAAGGGGCTTATATTTTCTTCATCTTTAATTGTTATGTATTTTCCTCTTTCAGATGCTGTGCCACTCTTCCTGAGGCTTCTGCGTTCATCCCATCAGAATGTCTGTGAGCAGGCAGTGTGGGCACTGGGAAATATCATAGGTTTGTATAAAACTTAGAATGCTGACCCAATAAGTTAGATAAATCATACACTATCCAATAAAAATGACTGCTAGTAGTTGAAAAGTAATTTCTTGTCATTTCCAGTTTTTGTGACATTAGCAGAGAAATTTTAACTGTATAACTATGTAAGTGTAAAGCAACAGTAAACAGAAGGAGCATGTTTGTAAGTTACCATATCTTTTTGTTGGTAGTCAATTCTTATTTAAAGGATTGTAAGATATATAAATTATTGATATTTTTCATATTAATGCCCACTTTATTAACTTTCTCCATTTAAGTAATAGGCAAATTTTAAACTGATAATTTTCCCCTTTATAGCACACTTGAAAAGTCTAAAAATAAAACTTTATATAAGACATTAAAATTTAAGCCGGGTGTTGGTGGCTCATGCCTTTAATCCCAGCACTCAGGAGGCAGAGGCAGTCGGATCTCTGTGAGTTTGAGGCCAGCCTGGTATACAGAGCGAGTTCCAGGAAACCTCCAAAGCAATACAGAGAAACCCTGTCTCAAAAAAATAAATAAATAAATAAAATTTAGTAATGTATAAAATATAACACCATTATTGTTTCACACATACACGTGTGTGCTGGGATTGCAGCTATGCATCACCATGGCTGTTTAGTAGAGGATATAGTAAACCAAACTTTTAAATTCAAGGAACTAATCCCAGCACTCGGGAAGTTGAGGCAAGAGAATTTTTGTGAGTTCAAGGCTAGCCTATACTACATAATAAGACCCTGTCTGAAAAAAAATAATGGAAAACTTCTGGGTTTTGAGTTAGTGTGTTCCTGCTATAGCTCAAGACCTCAACTATGGAGGATGGGGTTTTTAAAATCCCTTTTTAGAGGCCTCATTACTTTGATAATTGGATTCCGAGATTGTTTTTAAATGATGACATTTCACTTATTTTGTGTGTATGTGTGTTTGCATGTGTCCTGCAGCATATATTTTCCAGGCTGACCTTGAACTCACTATGTAGCCCAAGTTACATTGAACTCAGACCAATTTTCCTACCTTAGCCGCCTCTTTAATTCTGGGGTTTATGGGTATGCGTCATCACAATTAGTTGCATGTATATATTAGTATTGTTCTGATACCTCTTTATTGTCCCATTCTAGGTCTAATATGAGAATGTATGATTGGGAGTTTTTGTGGGCAGCTTGCTCTGTAAACTTACTAGTATAGAACACACTACCTTCATAAACATGGCGTTGCACATCCAGGTGCCTCTTTCCTTTGCTCTTATACCAAGTTTTAGGTATAAAATTGTTAAAGCACTGGTTCTCAACCTTACTAATGTTGTAACCCTTTAATACAGTTACTCATGTTGTGGTGACCCCCAACTGTAAAATTATTTCATTGCTACTTCATAACTGTTATTTTGCTACTGTTGCAAATTGGGTTGTTTTTGTTTTTGTTTGGTATTTCAAGACAGGGTTTCTCTGTGTAGCTTTGGAGCCTATCCTGGAATAGCTCTTGTAGACCAGACTGGGCTCGAACTCAGAGATCCGCCTGCCTCTGCCTCCCAAGTGCTGGGATTAAAGACATGTGCCACCACGGCATGGCTCTGTTAAAAATTGTAATGTAAATATCTGATATTCAACCTCCAAAGGGGTTGAGACCCACAGGTTAAAGGAACATCATAGTATTTGGGGTTTTGTTTTGCTTTTAATTCTAGATACATCTTGGAATTAATTCAAATACATCAGCAGATATTATCGTACAAGAAAGTTTTTCTTGTGAATTTTTAGTTTTGCTTTAATAGTGGGTCTCATGTAGCCTAGGCTGACTTTGAATTCATTATGTAGCTAAAGCTAGCCTTGACTCATTCTTCTGACTCCACCTCCAAAACGGTAGGATTACAGACTTGTGCCACCACACTATACTAATATTGGATCATAACTATGAATTCTGCATATGTGTTCTCAATAGTTATTTTGCTGTATCTTGTATTAATTTGAAACTTTGTTAAACTGAAAGTGTCATTGGGGTAACAGTAACAGATACCTGCTTAAGGTATATAAAAGAATTCTTAGTCTGCCACACTTGAGGGCATAGATGCATCCTGTGAGCAAGCAGCTATAAAGACACAGATTCAAGTAATAGGAGTGTATGACTTGCATTGTTTCTCTTGGCTCAAAGACCTAGAGTTCTTACTTGTTAAATTCCTAAACCTTTATATAAAATTAAAGAGATCTTATTAAAGTACCCAGCGCTTTATGTTTTACGAAAAGACTTACTATTGATTTATCTTATTAAATTAATCCTTCTACAGGTGATGGGCCTCAGTGTAGAGATTATGTGATAAGTCTTGGAGTTGTAAAACCTCTGCTTTCATTCATAAGTCCGTCTATTCCTATAACATTCTTAAGAAATGTTACTTGGGTTATGGTCAATTTATGTCGCCACAAAGACCCACCACCACCAATGGAAACGATTCAGGAGGTAAACAAGAAAAATACTCATATACCATTGTATGTATTTTTTTAATCTGTATATGTTTTGAATTGTACATATTTCTCTCCTCAGATTCTTCCAGCTCTTTGTGTATTAATTCATCACACAGATGTAAATGTGAGTAAACTCTCTTTGTATATTTATTTATGTGTATATACATATGTACTGGACTTGCTCTATGATATAGGAGAGATGAAAACAATGTACTTGTATTCTCTCATACTTTAACATTTCAAGAATTGAGGTATGTATATTATATATATATTTACTCTGTTTCCTATAGCATAAACTGTAGCTTCAGTGAAGAATCAAGCCTGTCATAAAGATGCAGTTAGTCATCTCTCGTTATCATTATTGATTATTCATAACCTCTGTGATTACCCTATCACAAAGCCTCTCCCATAGTTACAGCTGTATGAAATATGTATTTTTAAGGCGTTACTGTTTTTACATATTTATTGCCCTGATCTTAATCTGTGGGGAGCTTCTAAGAAATCACCTGTAGTGTTTTCTTGTTGTTGTTTGTGGCATTGAGAATTAAACCTAAGACCTTATAAATAATAGACAAATACATAACCACTAAGCTATATTTATCCCTAGCCCTCTTTTTACCTTTTGTTTTGAGACAGGATCTCATGTAGTGTCTCAGGTTGTCTTTCAGCTCAAGTTTATAGCCCAGGCTAGCCTTGAACTTGTGATCTTCATGTCTCAGCCTTTGTTTTATTTTTTTCTTAGCATGTATCAGTTATGCATAGTAATGGATTTTATTGTGCCATTTTTACACTTGTACATAATGTGTTTTAATTAATCTCTCTCTTACACATGCGCACACACACGTATCCTCTTTTGTCCTGATAATTTTCTTCCTGTTTCGAATTTGATGCCCTTCAACTTTCATGTCTTTAGTGTGTATGTGTGTGACCCAGTGAGCTTCATTGGGCTTGCTTGCAGGAAGTGCATGCATTAGGGAGTTGGAAGTGACTTTCTAGTTGCTGTACCACTGAAGAAAATGCTCCTCCTTCTCCTGTTAACCTTTAACTGGTCAAGGTGGTGGGGGGGGGCGCTGGGGGCGGAGGTTACATGTCTCATGAGTCTCTCACCCTTCCAAACAGGGTATTGGCAGGCCCAGGACTATGCAGATGGTCACAACTGCTCTGAGTTCAAGAATAAAATAGACATGTCATGCTAAGAAATTAGAGTCATAAACCTTCCTTTCCACTTCTTCAGTAATGTTCCTAGGTAGTAGGAGTAGGAGTAGTATGCATTCCTTCATGGAGCTAACAGTATTAGAGAATTTAAAAAATATATTTGACCTGTACTAAGCATTATAAACCACTGTGTATGTTGGATGGGTATGTGTGGTAGATGGACAATATATTTGGACCTATCATACTGCATTGTGAGCATCTGAGAAAAAAATGTTGGGTGGATTTTGTGTTTGGTTGGTTGGTTGGTTGGCTGATTTTTCTATTTAATGTGCCGTGTAGTTTGCTGCATTAAGATCGAATACTGATCTGAGATTAGGACCATAGTCAATTTATACATTCTAAGTATAGTTAAAGATGTTCCATTGAGTTGAAACAAGAAGAGAAAGATCTCAGATTGGTTGTATGGTTAGGAATTATTAAAATGGCCAAGTAGTGGCACCTACCTTTAATCCCAGCACTTGGAAGACAAGGGCAGATGGATCTCTTAAGTTTGAGGCCAGCCTGGTCTATAGAGCACGTTCCAGGACAGCTAGAGCTATATAGAGAAACCCTATTTTGAACTGCCCCCCCCCAAAAAAGAAAAGAATTATTAAAATGAGAAAATATTTAAGATTTGAACTTCTGTTTTACTTATTAGATATTGGTAGATACTGTCTGGGCCCTCTCCTACCTTACGGATGCTGGCAATGAACAGATACAGATGGTAATAGACTCCGGAATAGTTCCTCATTTGGTTCCTCTACTCAGCCACCAGGAAGTTAAAGTTCAAGTAAGTTCATTTTGAATAAGATGAGTTTTTCTCACCACAACTTGACTTAAGCATGACATTCAAAGATTACCAGTTTCAATAACGTAAAGCATATTATTCACTTAACAATGAAATGTGTCTTTGATTGGGAAAAGGTGAGTTATTTTATCCTAATTTTAAAGTGGAGGAAATGAGGTAAGAGCACTCTGGTTCATTAGGAACCTTCCTTCCCCTGCCAAACAGGGACACTCTACTGTGAAGAAGTGATTTCTACTCTAGAGAAGCATGCTTTAGTGAAGCACCTTGGGTGGCATCGGAAAGCATTCTTGTTAACAAGTTTGGTTAACCCTGATTTACTGATTCTGAGATAAAGGATTTGAACTGAAATGTGCAGTTTAAGGGCTTCCTAATTGTTTCTCTATTTTATGTTTTTAAGTCCTTTCACGTACTCTTTATCTCAGTGAGGCTCCATGTATAACAAGCAGGGAAAAGTTATAGCTGGAGCTGAGGATATAGCTCAGATGTACAGCCACTTGTCTTACTTGTGCAAAGTTCAGCTTTAGCCATCCCCACCACACACACACACACACACACACACACACACACACACACACACACACGCAGAGATAGTCAAACTGCAGTGATAAAGGAGCTTAAGCAAGCACACAACTCCCACATATACAATGTCTGTTACAGCATTATTCATAATAACCCTAAAGCAGAAGTAAACTGTTACTAACCACATAACAGATTATTATTTGGCCAAAAAAAGAATGAATACCACTGAGTGCCATGACATGAACTTGTTTCTGTTTATATGAAATGTGCAGAATATACAGATTAATAGACATGGGGAGGGGTATTGCCAGGGACCTGGGATTGAGGACAATGTTGATGACAGTTAATGGGTATATAACTTCTTTGGGATATAATAAAAATGTTTGTAATTTGATGATGTTGGTTGTGCAGCTTGGAGTACTCCAGTAAGTACTGAATTGCCTGTTCTTGAAAGAATAAGTTTGTGTGTTTAAACAGCTAAATCATTTATCTAAGGAGGAAAACTTACAGAAAATGAAAATTACTTCTTTATTTTCTTTATAGGTGTAATTACTATCAAAAATGCTCCTTATATTGATATAAATTCTCTTAAAATAACTTAAGCTACATAAGGCCTAGAATGTACATATTTCATATTTCCACTGTTGTTTCTAGATTACTGTTGTTCCTGGCATGGAGTAAGTGCTCAAAAGGAATAAGTTAGTTGTAGTGAAAGATTTTTGTGAAAGAATGAATCTGTCTCAAGTTGCCTGACACTGGTTGATAAGAATGCTTAACATTAGCAGGGTGTTGATGGCTCATGCCTTTAATCCCAGCACTCTGGAGGCAGAGGCAAGCAGATCTCTGTGAGTTCGAGACCAGCCTGGTCTACAAGAGCGAGTTCCAGGACAGCCTCCTAAACCACAGAGAAACCCTGTCTCAAAAAACCAAAAAGAACAACAACAAAAAAGAATGCTTAACGTTGAACATCTCATTGAATCTTCCATTTCAGACTGCTGCACTTCGAGCTGTGGGCAACATTGTCACTGGAACTGATGAGCAAACACAAGTAGTTTTAAACTGTGATGCTCTTTCACACTTCCCAGCACTCCTCACTCATCCCAAAGAAAAAATTAATAAAGTAAGTATTTTAAAAGATACTAATAAAATGATAGTTTTTGTTTCTGGAATTAGGTTCCGAGGAATTATTACATTGACTTTTAATATATGCTGATAAAAGCTTCAAGAGAAAATATCTCACTCTTTATAAGATGCTCATGGGATTCTAGATTCAAACCCAGAGCCTTTGACTTGCTAAGTACTCGCTCTACCACTGAGTTATACTATACCATCACCAACAAAGTACATTTTAGGCTCTCTTGGAAATGATGAAATAGAGATACTTGGGTGTTGAATGTTGTCATGAGTGGAAACTTTTAATACGTAGAGTAGTTCTCCTAGTTTAATGTTTCATTTATACTTAATAGTGTGAGTGCATGCGTGCATGTGTGTGTGTGTGTGGTGGCTATGAAAGGGGGCACTGAATGGTGATGCTGATATTGGAGTGCATCTGAGGCTGTTGTAGAAATAACGTGGGTTGTTGATTACAATATTGCCGATGATTATAACCCAAAAACAGCTCACCTAAGTAGCCCAGCACCCTAAAATCTCTAACAGGCTCATTAAATGTCCTGTGATCTGATCCAGAGAGTCTAGTTATGGTTGTGTTTATAATACTAATTACTAAATTGGTGAATTTAAGTTTGGTAAATTCTAATAATATCCTCTGTAGGATGTTAAATATTTGTTGTGTTGTTTATTGCTAACTTGGATTTTAATAATGCATTTATTTTGTTTTAAAGATTTATTCATTTATTTATTTATTACATACACAGTGTTCTTTCTGAATGTATGCCTGCAGGCCAGAAGAGGGCACCAGATTTCATTACAGAAATGGTTGTGAGTCACCATGTGGTTGCTGGGAATTGAACTTGGGACCTCTGGAAAAGCAGTCATAGGTCTTAACTTCTGAGCCATCTCTCCAGCCCCTAGTAATGCATTTATTATCTTTGAAGCTTATGAAACACTGTGATCACTATCATCCCAGAAATAGCTTAGCATCTTTGGTATTAATGGAAGCATTCAGAGGTCATTAAAATAGACCAATCTAGCAAACCAACTAGTTCCACATTTAGCTCTTGAGAGGACTGGTACGATGAATGGCTATTATAAATAAGGACACTAAAAGAATTCACTTGCATTTTGATGGTCTTCATTGTCATGGCTAATTGAGATTTATCTACTAGGATAGGATTGTAAAGGTAGACTAGGGAGAGTAGAATAAAGTGTGTTATTTAAGAAAAGGGTGCTGAATCTCATCTGCAATAGTTTTAGGATTTATAGTTTATGACATCTTCCTTGTATTTGTTCAGCCAAACTTCTTTTAAGACATACAGTTCTCAGACAGCATTGCCTGTAAAAATTCTTTAGAAGAGTTAGCTCATTGTGACTTGAATTAGAAGCCAGTTGTGATTTATCCAAAGAAAAATGTAGGAAAGGTATTAGTTAATGTGTAAACTATATTGTTATATAGAAAATCAAGTGTGGAGGACTAGGCATGGTAGCACACACCTTTAATTTCAGCACTTGGGAGACAGAAGAAGCAGGTGGGTCTCTAGGAGTTCTAGGCCATCCAGGGCTACACAATGAGACCTTTTCTTTATTTAAAAAGCAAAACAAAACAAAAAAACGGCTTTAATCAAATATTCTTGTTTTTTTTAGTACAGAAAAGAGATCGTAGAATTGAAGTTTCTAAGATTTTTTTTATAGAACTCATTCAGTAATAAAATAATTGAGAATACTAGTTAGTGAATATGTTTTCATAGTTCAAACACAGGTTCTATTTTTTTAGTAAGAAATATTGAAAGCATCTTGTTCCACAGGAAGCAGTTTGGTTCCTCTCCAACATCACTGCAGGAAATCAACAGCAGGTTCAGGCAGTAATTGATGCCAATCTTGTACCAATGATAATACACCTTTTGGATAAGGTAAGAAAATCATGGTGGTATCATGTGACAAATACTTTTCTGTTTAATAAAACACTCACTACACAGTGGTGTGAATACTACTATAAAATATGACTGATAATAAAACTTTTCAACCCAACAATATTATATAGAACAGATGTTTCTTCTTGAAAACCCCTCTTTGTCATTACTTGCCCAAGATAGCCATCGCTTTAGAATTAACTTAAAACAAGTGGTATCATTACCAGTAGTCAACAGGTATCATACTGTTCTAAGCATTTTGTAAATATTACCTCTTTTAATATAACAAGCTGATCCAGCAAAATAGTGAGCCTGGAGTTCTGAGTTTTATCCCTGGGACTTAAATGGAGGAAGGAAAGAAAGAGCCTCCTTCCCACAGATTTAAGGATTTATGTCCACTTGACAGGTGAAACTATTGCATGAGCAAATCACTTGCCTAAAATCCAGTGGCCAGTGAGTGTGCTATTGTGTGCCATTTCATTCCTTATACTCACTAAGATTTGTAGGAAAAACTATTTTGTTTTCAGATAGTCATTGATTATTGCTTGGATTCATTATTTAATTAAAGAGTGACAAAATGGTGACTTTCTAATTCTCCCATTCTTGGCATATTGCACATAGTTCTTTAGCATTTCTTCTTTTTTTTTGTTAGTTTGTTTTTTGAGACAGGGTTTCTCTATGGCTTTGGAGGTTTCTTTTATTTTTTAAATTAAAATATAGTTACATCACTTTCCCTCTTTCCTCCCTCCAACCTTCCATGTTCTTTTCCATTTCCCCTATGCTATTACAAATTGATAACCTCTTTATTATTTTTACATATATAGATGTATAAATACAGAATGCTGAGTTCATTTTTGTTGCTTGAGTCTATACAGTTTCAGAGCTGACCGTTTTTGTATTGGATAACTAATTAAGAAGGTCATCCCTGGGATATGCTAATTTTCTATCTCTCAGCAGTCATTAGTTGCCTGTAGTTCTTTGGGGGTGGGGCCCCATGAAATGACAGTCTTCAGCATTAATATAATTTGATACAGATCTTTTTGGTTTTTTGAGACAGGGTTTCTCTGTGTAGCTTTGGAGCCTATCCTGGCACTCGCTCTGTAGACCAGGCTGGCCTCAAACTTACAGAGATCCGCCTGCCTCTGCCTCCCTGGGATTAAAGGTGTTAGCCACCGATGCTCAGCTTTGATATGGTTCTTATTTAGGTTTATTCAGGCTGCCATAGTGTTAGGTTTCGTGGGTATAGCTTCCCTGTCATTTCTAGGATACATAATCTCCCAGCAGACTTTCTAGTTCTCAGGCTTTTAGTCTTTCTAACCCTAACTTCCATGATGTTCCTTGAACCTAAGGTTCAAGGGTTGTGTTTTAGATGAATCACTTGGAGCTAGACACCCTATAATGTGTTGTTCTCCACATTATGGCCAGTTGTGGTTTTCTGTGTTGGTCTCCATTTGCTGGGAAGAGAGACTTCTTTGATGAGAGGTGAGAGCTATACTTACCTGTGGGTATAAAACCGGCTTTAGAATGTAATCACATTCACATCAATCACAAATTGATGATCTCTTTATTATTGTTACATATATACATTGTATGTATGTATGTATGTATGTATGTATAAATTGTGCTGGTATAGTAAGTTAAGTTTTCTTCTAAGATCACTAGTCCAACTAGAATAGTTGGCTATGTTTCTAGTACCAAGCATGATTTCCTCCTGTTAACAGGCCTTAAGTCTAGTTAGATAGCTGCTGGTTACTGACAACATATGAGTACCATTGTTGCACATTGAGGGATCTCTCACCATGCTGGTTATTGTTGTGGTTCATAGGTACCACATGGCTGTATAGGACTGTTGATTGCTTCTCTCTCTTAGAAGCTTTTGTACTTTCTAGTACTATGAAAGCTAAACCACAGAAAAGGAGGTGTTCAGGTTAGATCCAGTAACTCTCTCCTTCTGTTTTGAAGTCCTTCCTCCCCATATTTCCCCTTTCATATCACCTGTATCCTGTTATTCTCTCATCCCCTATCCCACTCCCTTTATAATTCCCTGGTTACTCCATGTTGTATACATGTCAGAGGATTTGGAGGTAGGAATTGCTGATAAGAGGACATAGGGCTTTTGTCTTTCTGGGTATGGGTTACCTCACTCAATATAATATTTTCTAGTTCCATCCATTTAACCTGCAACAACCAAAAAAAAAAAAAAAGGATCCCTTTTTTAATTGGGACATTTGTCTTCTAGATTAGTTGTTGTTTTTTGGGTTTTTTGTTTGTTTTGTTTTTGTTTGTGGAGTTTTGTTTTTAGTTCTTGGCTTATTCTGGTTGTTGATACTCTGTCAGATGTATTGCTGGCAAAAGTGGGTTTCTCTGCTTGATTGTTTCTTTTGCTACACAGAAGCTTTTTAGTTCTATGAGGTCCCACTTGTCAGTTGTTGGCTTAAATTCCTGAGCAAATGGAACCCTATTCAGAAATTCATTTTCTGTATCTTTTTTGGTTTTTCAAGACAGAGTTTCTCTGTGGCTTTGGAGGCTGTCCTGGAACTAGCTCTTGTAGACCAAACTGGTCTCAAACTCACAGAGATCTGCCTGCCTCTGCCTTCCGAGTGCATTTTCTACATCTTTATCTTATAGAGTACTGCCTAAATTCTCTTCTAAATGCAGTTTTAGCATTTCAGGTTGTAAATTGAAGTCTTTGATCCACTTGAAGTTAATTTTTGTGCAGGGTTATGGATATGGGTCTGATTACATTCTGCTGCATGTAGACACCTAGTTTTCCTAGCACCATTTGTTAATAGTGTATTTTTTAGCATCTTTGTCAAATGTCAGATGCCTATAATTATGTGTGCTCATATGTGGGTCTTCTCTTTGATTTGCATGTCTGTTTTATGCTGGTTCCATATTGTTTGTTTACTATAGAGCTCTACTATATCTTGAAGTCGGGAATGGCAATTGTCAAATATTGTTCGTGTTGCTCTGGTTTGCTTTGGCTGTCTGGGATCTATTATGGTTCCATATGAATTTTAATGTTTTCTTTCCTATTTATGTGAAAAATATTCTGAGTATTTTTATTGAGATTGTATTGAATCTATAAATTGCTTTTGGTAGGATGGTCATTTTCACAATATTCTACTAGTCTATGAATATGGAGTGTCTTTCCATTTTCTAGTATCTTTGTCGTTTGTTTTTGTTTTTCAGAAATTTGATTTTTGTGTGTATGTGGCAGTCTTTCACCTCTTTTGGTTAGTTTTGATTTTGTTTGGTTTTTGTTTTTGACAGGGTTTTTTGGTTAGATTTCACAACGTTTTATTGTCTTTGAAGCTATTATAAATGGGATTGTGTCCATGGTCTTTTCTTATTTTAGCCCGATTGTTAGTGGGGTATAGAAAGACAACTGATGTGTTATAAGTTGGTTTTGTATTCTGCCACTTGCTGAAATTGTTCATTGTTTCTAGAAATTTCCTGGTGGAATTTTGGGACTCTCTTACATATCATATCAGCTCTTCTGCAAATACAGAAACTTGACTTCTTTTCCTCTTTGTATACCTTTAATTTCCTTCTCTTGCTTTACTGGTCCAGCTAGTGCTTCGAGTGCTATATTGAAAAGGTGGGGACTAAGAGGAAGATAATGGACAGACCTGTCTCATTCTTTGTCTTAATGAGATTGCTTTAAGATTTTCTCCATTTAGGTAATATTGGCTATGGGTTTGACCTATATAGTCTTTCTTAAGTTGAAGTATGTTTCCTCCAGTTCTGCTCTCTGTGGCTTTTATTGTCAAAACTTGTTGGGAATTGTCAAAGGTTTTTCTCCATATATTAAGATGATCATATGATTTTTTTCTTTAATATATTTATATGACTTACTATGTTTATTGACTCATCCTGCATTTATTTCCAGAATAAAGCAAATTTAATCATGGTGGATGAACTTGATATTTGCCTGCATTTGGTTTACTAGAATTTTTTGAGGATTTTTGAGTCTGTATCCTTCAGAAATTGGTCTGTAACTTTGTTTTGTTTTGTCTTTACCTGGGTTTGGTATTAGAGTAATCCTGGCTTCATAAAGTGAGCTTGGGGCTGCTCCTCTGTTTCTTTTCTTTTTTAAAATAATTTAAGGCGTATTGGTTGTCAGTCATCTTTTGAAAGTCTGGTATAATTGTCTGTGGATCCATTTGGGCTCAGGTTTTTTGTTGTTGTTTTGATCAAAAGGCTTTTATTACTATTTCAATCACATTTGTTATTAATCTGTTTAAGCTGTTAACTTCTAGATTCAATTTTGGTGTTTTGGTTGAGTCTAGAAATTTCCCCATTTCTATTAGGTTTTCCAGCTTAATGGAGGACAGGTTTTTAACGTATTCTCTTATAGTATCTAAATTTCTTTGGTGTCTGATATAATGTTTTCTGTGTTCATTTCTGATTCTGTTAATTTGGGTCATCTCTTTGTTGTTGTTTGAGACAGGGTTTCTCTATGTAACAGCCCTGACTGTCCTGAAACTCACTCTTTAGACCAGGCAGGCTGACCTCAAACTTACAAAAAGGCAAAAGGTGTGCGCCACCACCGCCCCAGGCCAATTTGGGTCATCTCTTGGTCTGTCAATCTTGTTTGTATTCTCAGAAAACAACAGTTCTTATTCATTGATTCCTTGCATTGTTTTCTTTGTTTCTGTTTCATTAAATCTTTTTTTTTAATTATTTTTTAAAAATTATTTCTAGTTGACTACTAGATTGTGGTTTCATTTATTCTTGTTTTTCCAAATACTTGAGTTGTGCTATTAATCCATTTATGTGTGTGCTTTCTGATTTTTTAATGTAGGAACTTAGGGCTTCGGATTTCTCTCTTAGAGCTGCTCTTAATTTGTTGCAGAAGTTTTGTTGTGTTTTCATTTAGTTCCATGATTTTTTTTATTTATTTCTTCTTTAGCCCATTCAGTGATAAATTATGAATCTCCATGCATTTAAACACTTACTAGAAATTTACTATAGTTTTTTGTTTTTATGATGTGGAATTTACTTCAGTTTTTCTGAATTTGTTAAGTTTGTTTTGTGTCTGTGGGTATGGTCTGTTTTAGAGAAGCTTCCATGGGCTGCTGAGTAGAATGTATTTATAGGTGTTTGAGTGGAATATTCTGTAGATATGTTAAGTCCATTTGATGTATAGTGACATTTAATATTGAAGTTCCTCCTGTTAATTTTTTATTCAGATGTTATGTCTGTGGAGAAAGTGAGGGGAAATCTATAATTCTAGAAATTATTTACTGGTATATTGGGCTGGGTGTTAATCTGTTTCTTTAATTCCAATAGTGTGCTTTCTGTGGTACATGTAAGTTTAGGATAGTAATGTTGGTTAGTTGTTCCCTTGATTACAATGAAAATGCCCTCTTGTCTCTTCTGATTAGTTTTAATCTGAAATATATTTTGTTAGATACTAGGATGGCAACACCTGCTTGCTTCCTAACACCATTTGCTTGGGATACTTTTTTCCATCCTTTCATTTTAGGGTGGTACCTACCATTAGAGCTAAGCTTTTTGTAGACTGCAGAATGAGAGGTTTTTGTTTCTTATTTCACTCACCTAGCCTATTGATTGGACATTTAATCAATCTGTTATTGATGACATTTAAGTTGTTTCTGAGTTTCACTGTTAAAATTAGTGGTATTTTAAAGAATAGCTTGTGGGTCATGGTAGCGTCATCCCAGTACTCTAAAGGCAGACACAGTACAATATGGAGTTTAAGGCTAGTCTGGGTGGATATCCTCTTTTTCCCCAAGTTATATTTAGCATAACTGGGTAAATGAGAAAATATTGCTGCATAATTCCCTTTCACCTCTGTAAGACTATACCCATTTGCACCATTATCTCCCTCACAGATATTTAGATTTCCTTAGTTCTCATTTCCATTCTGATTTAGATTTCTTATTTGTGAATGTTTTGTGATGATATTTTGTTTGTGACCTAATAAAGCTTACCTGAAGATCAGAAGGCAAAGCTAGCTACAGCCATAGAGGCCAGGCAGTGGTGCTGTACACCTTTAAATACAGCACTAGAGAGTCATGCTGCATTCAGTGAGTGTAAGGAGCAGCTCCTTGGATATGCAATGAGGACAGGATCGCCCTTTCAGTCTGAGGTAGAGGTAACAGCTAGTGGCTGGCTGCTTTGCTTCTCTGATCTTCAGCTTTAACCCCAGTATCTGTCTCTGGGTTTTTAATTATTTGTATACAGTTTTTTTTTTCTTAATATAACATTCTTTCCAGGCTTCTAGTCTTGATTTTTAATGGCTTATGTTATTTCATTTTGAAAATTTACTGTATTAATTATATACCTGCTGAAAACATTAAATGAGTCTGCTTTTTGGCTGTTACTGTGTTATAGCAAAATATAGAAAGATGTACATTATTAAATTATTTTTCTGGTAGAATCTCAATTGAGGTTACTGGAATCTACATACATATGTCTTTTTAAAAGTTTTCAATTTGTATTCTTTTTTTTAATGAAATTGCATTTGACTTTTATTTACTCTGATTTTGAAGAGTAATATTGTCATCCCCACCTACCCAGAGAGTTCATAGAAAGTAATTTTTATTTCTTCAGAATAGATTCACTGTGGTTCAAGACTTATCAGTAAATAAAAATTACACATGTATAAACATACCTCCAGAGAAACTTAGAAATAAGCAACTGAAAAACATTTTAGAAAATATCTTTTTAAATTTACCCTGTATTCTTTTTTGCTTCATTTTGTTTTTAAGGGAGATTTTGGCACACAGAAAGAAGCTGCTTGGGCCATAAGTAACTTAACAATTAGTGGGAGGAAAGACCAAGTAAGTTGAACTTTTATTTTTCAAAACCGGTAAAATTAACAATATAGGTAATTATATCTTTATATTTAAGTGAGTTATGTAAAATAATAGAAGACTATATTTTGTAGGTAAGTTTTGGTTTTAGGTTGTGTATGAACTCTGTGTTCATGTGTGCATGCAGGTCACATATGCCAAAGATTGAGCCCATATGCTAAGCCTATACTCTACCACTGAGATACACCTCCAAACTCTGCTCTATGATTTTTTTTTTTAATATAAACATAAAAGTATCTCCTTAACTTCCTTTACTCATGTTTCTTAGGAAAGGCGTGTTTTTCTAGTGGTTACATTGCTGGCCATTGAACATAATGCTTTATGAATGTCCAAGTGTTACCTACTAAATGAAATTCAAAATTAATATGGTAGAAAGAAATCACATTAGTGATTCTCCTAAAAAGAATAACTGCAAACAGATTCACTAGCAGAAAAGCAAAGGAGTCACATAGCTGGGACTAGAAAACAGGGCAAAGAATGTGAGGAGCACATTATTAACATGTCCCAATGAGTAATATAAATGGCAGAATTTAGACATATGGGAAGCAACACTGGTACTAAAGGTCTCGGAGCTCATCCATAAAACAAGTAATAAAGGTAAATAATGAACCAAGTGGCAACTGATAATTTATTATTTTTTTTAAAAAAGCTCAATTTAAATGCAAACCTGAGTGCTGAGGAGATAGCTCTGTGGGAAAGAACACTTGCTACACACAGCATGAGGACCTGATTTCAGACACCCAGTACCCATGTAAAAGAGGTATTGCTGCTTACACCTGTAATCCAGCACTGTGGGCAGGAGGAAACAGGAGGATCTTCCAGCTTCAGTGAAAAATGTTGAGCTTCAAGTTTAATGAGAACCGTATCCCAAGGGTAAAGACTAGTGTGATAAATTAGTACACCTGATGTCTTCCTCTGTTGCCTTAAAAAATAGCCTCTCATCTCACTTCAGAATGCTAAAACAACACAGTGTGGAGCCAGTAGGTACTGTTACTAGAACAATCATAGTGTTTAAAAAATATAAGTCAATCTCTTGGTTGGTTTAAAGGATCTTGGGTAAAGGTACTTTTATAGAAAAAGAATATTATATAATAAGAGGTTAAGTCTTCACTTTAGTCACACACACATCCCCCACTAAATTTTAGAAAAATAAACTTGCTGCATTAAAAAGAAGTTATTTGATTAATAATGGAATCTGACTGACATCGGAGAGAGATGTTCATGTTTTCATACTGAGTTTGGAAGTCAACATTATTTCCGTTATAAGTAAATAAATAAATAAATAATAGTTGACCCTTATTTTGTCAATTCATGGAATCCGCATTTTTCAGGTGGCCTATCTTATCCAACAAAATGTTATTCCACCTTTCTGCAATTTGCTGACTGTAAAAGATGCACAAGTTGTGCAAGTAGTACTTGATGGACTAAGTAATATATTAAAAATGGCTGAAGATGAAGCAGAAACCATAGCCAATCTCATAGAAGAATGTGGTGGTAAGTTTATAATGGGGTGTTGTATACATTTTAATGTTCTATTTGTGACTACTGTATTTTTCTATCATAGGTAGTTAAGTAACAATAAAGTATATTCTATATGTATAGTCTGTATATTTTTAGGTAACTGAGTTGTTGCTGTATAGTGAAGGCACCCTACTCAGGTAGTAGGAAGACAGTGGTAAACAAAACAGCCCCTCAAGGTACATAGTTTAGACTTAAAAGAAATATGATATGAACTGATTTAGTGTGCTAATTACCCTAATAGAAATGTACAACAAAATGGGTTAACTAATCCATTCTGGAAGAAGCAGGAAATGACAGCTGAACTGGATTGTGAGAAATGAATGAGGATTAATAAAGTAAAAAGGGATGAAAAGTGTTCTGGGCAGAGATAAAAACATGAGCAAAGTTGAGGTGAGAAATAGCATTCAGCAAATTATAAGTAATTCAATATTGCTGAATCACAGAGTATGAGATGGCAACAGCCCTGAGTTGAAGCTTAAAAAGCAGCCAATGACCAGACCCTAGGAAGTCATGAGCAAATACTTTATTCTGCAGGGCAATAAACATCAAATCTGGCTTCAGACCAGAGCCACCTAGAATGTGAACAACACAATATTTTTTTTTAACTCTTAAGGTTAACATTTAGGCAAAAAACTGAAGTGCCAGTTGTGTCTTTGGTAGAAAATTTGAGTGTCAACCTAAATAACCATAATTGTCTAACTCAAGTTGGAACATGAATGAAAGAGTAGAAGAACCTGTAAAAGTTAAGTGGGAAACCTAGAAATTGGAAAACTAATGCAATAAGAAATAGGCAATAGGACACTGGCTCTGTAAGTGTTTGCTAGTATGCTTGAAGCACTGTGTTCAATCCTCAGTCTGTGTCTCCCCACCCCTGAAAACATAATGAAGAAAAAATAGATATTGAATACTATCTTATTAATGCAACAAGAAATAGGCATATTAGAATTGCTAATATGACAAATAGAAGAAAAAATAGTGTAGCAACTATCAGAGTGGGAAGAGGACATAAGGAATAGGATAGAGAAATAATTAGTAAAACCATGGTAAGAAAATTATTTTACCACTTGATTTACCATATAAACATTTTAATGAGTAATTTTATATATTAAAATTTTAAGAATTTTTTGAGCATTATTTGTCTTACTAGTAATGAGTGTGTTTTATAAATTTCAGTGGGTTCTTCCATAAAGAATGTCAGGCCCTTGGTACACTTTATCTAAGTGGATGTGTTCAAATGGATGTCTGGCACATAGGGCCTTGGGAGAAAGGAGGCACAGAAACCAGGTAGCAAAGTACATAGAGGACAGGCTACAATAAGTGAAGGTAATAATAATGTAGACAAAGGAAGGACAATAGAACTCCTGAATGATTTTGTGAGGTTTTCGAGCTTAGATTGAAGGTAAGGAACGAAAGCTTTCTTAGATATTGTTTATTACTGAAAGAGGCAAGTAATCATTGTACTTCAGATAGTCTGAGTTTTAGAAATCTTTGAAATGTCCTTGTGGAATTTTGCAGGCATTTTTATATTTATGAAACTCTAAAAAGTAGTGAAGATAACAAATTATCAGTCCTTGGTCTGTTTGTGGTAAATAAAGTTTTTGATGGAAGAAACATCGAGAGTGAGTTGTGACAAGCTCCCAAAATAACTTCCTCTACACAGGAATGATTAGCGGAATACTTCATGGGGAAAAATAACTTTTCTTCATTTCAGCACTCTTAAAATCATCACTTCTATAAAGCAGATCAGTAAGTTTAATATATATACATTTTTTAATGTCCTGTCTATGATTTAGTAAACATACTAAGGTTCAGTTAGTTCTCCTTCGCCTGAGATACTGTGGTTGACTTGATTGTTTGCGGTGAGTGTCACAGAATTATTGAATTTATTGCTGGTATCTTCAGTTTCTTTTTCATACATATTAACTCAAAACAGACTGGGCAGATGCTAGAAATGGAAAGATGTGCTTATTATGTTTAATAATTAAAAATAATTTTACAGTGTTTTTGTGAACGTTGGATTTATTGTAAAGTGAGATTTTCTGGCCTGGCAAGTGCCCCAGCCCTAGAGCCCCCAAATAATCACACAGACACTATATTAGTTATAAGTACTGTTGGCCTTTGGCTAAGGTTTCTTATTTGCTAGCTCAGTCTTAATTATTAACCTATTTCTAATAATGTAAGTATTTCCATGTGGCCTTATCTTACTGGAGATAAGGTCCGGGCCTCTTATTCCGTTGGGGTCTACATCTCATCTGCTCAGCGTATCTGAAGAGAAAAGAGAAAAGAGAAAAGGGGAGGGGAGAAGAGAAGAGAAGAAAGCGATTTTCCTGTTTGTTCTATTACTGCCTGCCACATCACTTCCTGCTGGGATCACATGGCGACTTCTCTTTACTACATTCCCAGAAATCTCCTTGTCTCCTAGTCCTGCCTATCTTGCTTCCCTATTGACCAACAGTGCTTTATTCAACAACCAATAAAATAAACATGTACAGAAGACTTCCCCCATCATCTCTTTTCAATCTAAATAAAAAGGGTTTTAACTTTAACATAGTAAAATATGTAACAAAACAATTACCCAGTAAGAACTATAGTTATAATATTTAGTTCGTTACATTTGGCAAAATTTATAGAAAATATTTGTCTTTAATCCTAACTAAGGAAAACTATACCCATAACTATGTCTTCAACTCCATCAAAGACCACAGAAGGATAGTATGTAAACTCTAGAACTGATAGAGACATCTTGCTGCCTAGACAGTCACCAAAGTTCCTCTGTAATGTTGGGGCATCCATCTTCAGCCTATAGGCCATAGTGTGCCTGGCACACTTCTCTGTGAAGCAGGAGATTTTAAACTGCCTGCCTCCATTAGCAGTTTGTCAGTTAATTTCCTCTGTGTTCTGCAGAATGTCTGGCAGACTCTTCCATGAAGTAGGAACCCTTCAGGACTGTCCATATTGTTTTCCAAGTTCAGCAGTCACTTTTTTGTGGGTCCTGCATGTCCAGTTTATACAGCAACATTCAAACAGTCCAGGCAAGAGCAGTTTCTTGCCCAAATGGATAGTTTTATCATATTGAAAGTAAACTCCATAGTGAGTTTCTTTGATGCCCATCATCTTCTCTGACATAGATTGGTGCTGCCAGGAGCACATTTCTCATTGTCAAGAAAAACCCTAAACCATTTTAAATGCCATTTTCTGAAGGTCTTTGAAAGGTTTGAAGAATATCTATCCATCTCAAATATATCTCTGTATATCTAGAAAACCTAACTAACCTAACTATAAGTTCTGACTATTATAGGTGACTATATACAATCTGTATTTAATTATACATTACATTTTAAAAGATCAGTATAAACATAATATTTAAACAAGAGGAGAAATATACATATCACAAAACTGACCATAAATTTGTATCAACAAATGAAAATCCATTCCAACAGAAAGTATTCATTTCTATATCCTATTCCCCTTTTTCCCTTTAAAAAGAGATTGACTGTGATCATTACATTTATAACTAACCCCATTTAAATGAAAACAAACATTTATAAACAATATTTGGGAACGTGGGCATTGTTGTTCTCGCCAAAGTGCTTCCTGCTGTTTAGGGGTGCTGTCATGGAGATCCAAAGAAAACCCAGAAATCCTGGCTGTAGTGGTCTATGACTGCATCATCCCAGGTGTCTTCACTGTTGGGTCACCTGGAACACTGCTTCAGGAGGTCTTGCTTCATCAAACCATATTAGTCTGGGAGGAATCCACAGCTTTTCATTTTCCGTGGAAACAAAATCTCTTTTCCAAAGTAATATATCCCTATACTTAAATTTTGAAGTCAAGGCATTTTTAAAATACAAGTTGGATTAATCCAGCAGCATTTCTTTTAGCAGTTGTTGCTATTTCCTCAGCAAACAATTCAAAGACAACACAGAAGCATACAGTATCCAGACTGTGTGTTTTCTATCTTTATGTGGCTTATTTATTTAATACTCTATTTCTTTTACTTTTTCCGTTTTTTGAGGTAAGGTTTCTCTGTGTGCTTTGGCTGCCCTTGAACTCATGCTATACACCAGGCTGCCCTTGAAATCACAGAGATCTGCTTGGCTCTGCCTCCTGAGTGCCAAGACTAAAGGCATGTGCCACCACTGCACCCAGCTACTCTTACTTCTTTTTTTCTTTTTAATTACTTTACCCTGTTTATTTTCTCTCACAGGCCTATGTATATTTTTAAACACATTGTAAACTTTAGAGGTTTTACTTTTTCCCTCTGAATCTGTCTTTAATGTATATCTTTATCTTTTTCTGGCCACCTGGTGTTTTATCTGCTAAACAACATTGCTAAAATTAAAGCTGCAGCTATTTTAGCCACTGTCTTTTCAAGATGGAGGGGGTATGTTTACTGCCAGCATGGAGAGCTGTGCTTACTGCCTTGGACTATGCTGCCATCAAGCATCAGGTTGCTGACTTGGAGATGTGGTCACTGCCACTTCCAGCTGCTCGTACACCATTCACTTGTTAGCAGGGCCTCGTAAAAGAGCCTTGCAGTTTTTTGCCGCTATGCTGAGTCAGGAAGATTCCTTAAGGGAGCTGCTCAAGTCTCTGTTTGTCTCTGTTCTTTTAGTTCTCAAATCCCTTTTTAAACTTTTGTCAAGTTTTAAGTGGAAATTTGTGCCTCACATTGGGCGCCATTTTGTAAAGTGAGGTTTTCTGGCCCAGCCAGTTCTCAGCCCTAGAGCCCCCAGATAATCCCACAGACACTATATTAGTTATAAGTCCTGTTGGCCTTTGGTTTCTTATTTGCTAGCTCAGTCTTAATTATTAACCCATTTCTAATAATGGAAGTATTTCCATGTGGCCTTATCTTACTGGAGATAAGGTCCAGGCCTCTTATTCCATTGGGGTCTACATTGCATCTGTTCAGTGTCACCACAGAGAAGAGAAGAAAGGAAGAGAGCAATTTCCTGTTTGTTCTTGCCTACACACTGTTTGTCACTTCCTGCTTGGATCACATGGCGACTTCTCTTTGCTACATTTCCTAGAATTAGTTCTCCTTGTCTCCTAGTCCCACCTATCTTGCTTCCCTAATGGCCAACAGTGCTTTATTCAGCAACTAATAAGATAAACATGTACAAAAGACTTCCCCCATCAGTCTATAATTAATAGATGTCCCATTAATTTATACATTTGCATGCTGTTGCTCAAATTGTTAGTCTTTTTAAGGTAAATGTATTCTTTGTATATGAAATCTCAGCTAGAACTTACCAGTACAGTAGACCCAGCAATTTTACAGTATGAAGATCACATTGTGTGTTTCAAGGTTCTTGTTATTTCCGGCACATTAATTGCCTTTGTTCACTTCATAAATTCTCTTGCAGGACTGGAGAAAATTGAACAACTTCAGAATCATGAAAATGAAGACATCTACAAATTGGCCTATGAGATCATTGACCAGTTCTTCTCTTCAGATGATGTACTTATACTTAATACATTTCTAGTTTTCTATGCTAAGCAAATCTGGATGAAAGAGTATAGTAAACTAGAATATATACATGTGTATACTTTTTTTTGATATACTTACCCATAGATGGGATAACATTGTCCCTCTCTTTGAAAACAAATTTCAGTGTTTAAATCAATAACAAGCAGACAAGAAATTTTGTTACACTAGATAAGCTGTTTCTTTCTAGTTCTCATACTTTTGTTATTATTGTTTTTCTTTTTGCTTTTTTGTTTTGTTTTTGAGATAGGGTTTCTTGGTAGCCCTGGCTGTACTAGAACTTGCTCTGTAGACAAGGCTGGCCTCCAATTCATAGAGATCTGCCTGCTTCAGCCTCCCAAGTGCTGGGATTAAAGGAGTGTGGCACCACCACCCAGGTAAATTCTCATACTTTTACATTAGTAATAACTTGTCTATAAACAAAACAAAAAACAGTAGCACCAAGCATGATGGCACTCAGCTATAACCCCACTGCTTGGGAGGCTGATGCAGAAGAAGGATCAGGAGTTAGAGGCTGTCTTTGGCTTCATAGGGAATTCAAGGCCACCAGGGCATTGGAGACCTGTCTCAAAAAAAAAAAAAAAAAAAAAAAAAAAAGCAAGCAAACAAAACCAGTAATACTAGTCTAACTGCATTAAATCCTTTATAACTTTAGTTAGTCCATGTTTTCAAATGTCATTTTTTATTGGTAGTTAAAAACAGATAAGATAAAGAGACAAGATGAGCATAATAAATCATCAAAATGTAACATATGCAATATATGGAGTGGTCACTAAATAATAGTTGAAATTAAAGGGTTGTTTACTTATTTGGATTTTGTTAGAAAATGTATTGCTATATATGCCTGGCTGTCCATGAACTTTATGTAAAGTCTTCCTACCTAGCCTTTCAAGTGCTCAGATTATAGGGCATGTACCACTATACCCTATAAATGATTTTCCCAACTTTTCAAGAAAGAAGTTTCAGAGCTGGAGAAATGGCTCAGAGGGTAAGAGCACTGACTCCTCTTCCAGAGGACCCAAGTTCAATTTCCAGCTCCCACTTAGTGACTCACAACCATCTGTAACTCTAGTTCCAGGGAATCTAACACCCATTTCTGGCCTCCATGCCAAGCACACATGTGGTAAAACAGACATACATTCAGGCAAAATACCCATGCACATAACATAACATAACCTAAGGTGGTTATTTTGTTTTTTCGAGACAGGATTTCTCTATTGTTTTGGAGGCTTTCCTGGAACTTGATCTGTAGACCAGATTAACCTCGAATTAAACAGAGATCCACCTGCCTCTTTCAAGTGCTGGGATTAAAGGCATGCATAACCACTGCCCAGCTATAGTTTTTGCTTTTTATTTTAAGAACTAAATTTCATACCACATTTCCACATTACCAAAAAGAGTCAAGTATTAGAAAAAGAAACCCACAGGCCACTTTGAAATGTCCTCACTAGGACTAGCAAGTGGTTCTTAGGGGAAGACTGACAATCTGAACTCAGTCCCGGAATCAGCCTATGTGATAGAAGAGCACTAACTCTCCTGGTTGCCCTCTGACTTCCACATACATAACATTGGGAAATGTCTCCCCCACACACACAATAACCACATAAGTAAGTAAATAAATAAATAAATAATGCCAGTATAGAAAAACAGGCTGGAGAGTTCACTCAGCAGTTATGAGCACTTGTTGCTTTCATAGTGAATCCAGGTTTGATTCCTAATACCTACATGATAATCCAAACAGATAGAAAAATAGAAAAGGAAATTTCATACTAAATCCTATCTAAATACTAAGTTAAATACATCAGAAATCCAGACAAAGCATACTGCCTAAGGAATATATCCTTATGGGTAGATAGCTTTAATTGTGATATTTTTCGGTTTTTTTCTTGTTTGCTTGTTGGTTTGTTTTTTCTAGGCAGGGTCTCTTTGTGTAGATCAGCCTGGCCTCAGACTCTCAGATTCATCGACCTTTGCCTTCCAAGTGCTGGAATTAAAGGCGTGCACCACCACCGTCCAGCTAATTGTGTCTTATAATTGAAAGTTTGGAAGTCCCAATTTGTAGCTAGGAATAACACTGCCTATACATTCCAAAAGTAAAATTAGAACATTTACTTTCTGCTAATGTTTGTGTGTTGGAGGCTTTTGGATCGGGTGTTTTTGAGACCCAGGGTCTTTCTTTTGTTTGTTTGTTTGTTTGTTTTTGTTTTTGTTTTTTCGAGACAGAGTTTCCCTGTGGCTTTGGAGGCTGTCCTGGAACTAGCTCTTGAAGACCAGGCTGGTCTCGAACTCACAGAGATCCGCCTGCCTCTGCCTCTGCCTCCCTAGTACTAGGATTAAAAGCGTGTGCCACCACCGCCCGGCTGCCCAGAGTCTTTTTTTCTGGGGTGGTGCTGGCTGACCCAGAACTCACTACATAGAAGAAGCAAGAAGTGGCTGTAGTCCTGCTTTCCCTTCCCAAGTGCTAAAGTCACAGACTGTGCCACCATGCCTGAAACCTTTTCTTTTCATTGTTTAATATAAGCCAATACCGTTTCTTTCCTAAATATGAGAGAAATTACAGTAAGTCCCACTGTTTAACCTCTCAGTTTGGAATCTGAGGCCATTTACAGTTTCCTATTCCATAAGGTTTCTTTCTATCGTGTATATTCTTGTTTGTTCTTATCCCTTAAAGAAAAGTGTTTACAAAATATTTCAGCTTTCTAAAGGATGGTAGTACATTGCTGGCAGGCACTCATCACTTAGATATGGTCTACATTTTTAGAGGGTGATGGAAATACTGCAATAATTCAGTTTTTGTGTACCTTAAAGCTAATCATCACAATGTTTTTTTTTTTTTCTCTTTTCCTTCAGATTGATGAAGATCCAAGCCTTGTTCCAGAGGCAGTTCAAGGAGGAACATTTGGTTTCAATTCATCTGCCAATGTACCAACAGAGGGGTTCCAGTTTTAGAAAGATATTGTGGATGTTAGGTACAATGCAGCACTGAGACATATATATATATTTACACATATATATAAAAAGGTTTGATCCATCAAGCTTGGCTCATGGGATCTGCTGCTGCATTAAATCGGGAGAGAAAATGTGAAGATTTCATTTGGAATCACAGAAAATGCCCAAATGAGGTCAAGGTGGCGAGTGGGTGCGAGTGAGAATGAGTGGCAATGTAAGGAGAACTTGACATGAATGCTTATCTAGGTTGAGAGTAAAAGGGCTACAGGTCACAGGTCTTGAGCGCCTAAGAAGGAGCATTGACTTACTCTATCAATTGAGGGGAAGTGAAGTGCTGTCATCATCAAGCCTTGTAAGCAAAAAAGTGATACCCATATAAGTCAAGGAAGATGAGCCCAGGCCTTGCTGTGAAGCAGTGTGTGAATGGACAGTGTTGAATGAATGTCTGGCTCCGTGGTAGAGAGCCAGGTTCATCTTTCAAATCTAGGGCTCTTCACGCATGAAGCAGACTCCTAGTCTTGGAGTGACTGTGTACGAGAGTGTGGTTGTAGTGCTGTATGTGGACGCATGCAAGCTTGATTCGCCTTCAGGGGGCTGATAACAAACCTAGTAGATCATCAAAGTGAGATCACAAGTGTTAATGTACACTGGACATGAAAACAAAGACCGGTTTAGCAGCAGACATTGGTTTACTCTGCAGCCTGTGTTTTCTATTCTCCCTCTACCTTCCCCGGCCCCTTTTTTAATTTAGTTTTTATTTACTTTACCTAGTACGTACAGCTTTTTTAGTTGCTTCTCAAGTCAGAAAACTTCAGGAAGGTTTCCCTGTGCATTTGCACCAGATGAGTGTTTGATGCTATGAAAAGCTTTCCATATCATCAAAACAAATTTGTGTAGATTTTTGCATGAAATAAATCATAAATTTCCCTCACAATAGACTGTGTTGCAGTACACAAGTTGCCATAATAGTATAAAATGTGCTTTAAAAGCCATTCTTTTCATTTTCAGAGATAACATAAAAGATCTTTGCATGAGGTAAATTACAGCATAGTTCATTTTTAGATTTTGTTGAGTCCTGTAAAGAAGAAAAGTTTCAGTTGTGATAGAATACCGTGCTGTGTTTAAATGTTAACTTGTTTTCAAACTTTGTTTTCTATGAAAATGATATGGAAACTTCTAAAATGGAATTTGGTGCATATGTACTGCTGAATAAAGACCGATGAAGAGGTTTGAGTAGATGTACAAATCAAGTAATGGTTTGAACACCTTTAATAATATGCCTAATCTGTTTAATTGTTTTAGAATCTTTTTATCTTAGATGTAGGCAGCCATGAACAATCTATTTTGAGCCACTTTAGGGAGAAAACTTTGTATTTTTAAAACTTGCATAAAAGTTATGCAAGTGGTTTTTATAAATTGGAATAATACCTCAGTTTTGAGGTTACGCACACTAAATTAAATATGTCATAAATTAATTTGTACAAAAAGAACTCTTTATAAGGTGGCTCATTGTAGGAAATCCTGTGCCTTCCCCTTTGAGCACAAATGTTGCATGAACAACAATTTGCTATAAGAAACATACCAGGTTAGCCACCATTAGCATCTATATCTACTTTGTGTTTAAAAATCAACTGGTAATTCTGAAACACTGTAGAATGGATAAAAATTATTTTGTGATCATAACTCTTTGTTGAACTAGAGTATTTTTGCAGCATTCCTTGTCATCAAAAACATGGTTAAAGTTTAAAACTAGAAGCAGCAGAAAACTAGCTTGTAAAATTTATCCAAGTAGACTACAGGCTAGGCTGTCTTGGGGAAATAAACATTAAAACTTAAAGCAATGTTTTACATGGGGTGTGTGTGTGTGGTGTGGATTTCTTTTTCTATTTAATATTAAGTTAGAGTATACCTCAGTGGCTTCTGTTAGCTTCTTGTCTGTCTTAAGCCTTTTTTCCTAGAACCAACATGAGACATGTCATAAACTAATTTCATTCTGGGTGTGTTAGTATTTCAGTCCACAGAATTTGTTCAGTTGATATCATCTCTACTTGTACTTTCTCCCTGTCAACACCAAGGTTTTGACCTGCCTTCAGTTTCCCAAGTAATAGGATTAAGAAACAGCTTGAGCTATATTTTAAATAGTGACATAGCCAACATGAGACTCCAAATGATAGATTACATACAAGACCTGGGGTTTTTTGGGGGGGGGGTTGCAGAAAGTGTGAATTCTGGGAAGGTGAGCATATACTACCTTATAATTACTATTTTTTAGTAATAAGTGTACCTGAGCATGGTGTCATAGGCCTGTAATCTCAGCTCTCAGAAAGCTCAGGTAGGAGAATTACCAAGTTTAAATCCAGGCTATATTGTCATGAAACCGTACTTCAGGAATTCAAATGTGTGGGAACAACATTCACGTCTCTAAGGGCTACCTGAAGGTCTAAATACTTGTTTGTAACTGTGATCTCTATGGGACATTGATTTTTCTAGAATTCTATGGTGTGCTTTTCTGTATCTGAAATGTGTCCCATATGAACACAACTTTTTAAAAATTCTCCAGTGATCTAGGAAATTGATTTAATTTTAGCAAAAACCATTATATTGATGAAATAGAGTAGTAAGTCTAATAAGCTAAATGTTATTTTTTCATGTTCTTAAACTGCCATTTTTGACACCAAGTCCCGTTCAAGTGCTACAAAAATTAAAATTTTGTGTTAAGATGTGTGAGTAGCCCTAGTCTAAAATACACTTTCAAAAGTACTGTTTATCATAGCCAGACATGGTGGTGCATGCTGTTAATCCCAGCAGAAGCAAGTGGAGGATCTCTGGAGGCCAGCCAGGTATAAAGAATGAGCTCCAGGACAGCCAGGGCTATTATCTACACAGAGAAACCCTGTCTTAATTTTATTTATATAGCGGGATTTTTGAAAGGTATCAGTAGTTGTGTGTTATGGTGGAACTGATATTTTTTATATTGTTTATGGTGGAACTGAAAAGTTTTTATATTGCGCTAGGCCAAACCTAGAGCATTTCTATATTGAAGCTATCTACACATCATTGAATTGTACCTGGAAAAGTTTAGTTAGGTTTACCTTGACTACACTTCATAGGGTGAGGGTACTTTTTGATTCTTTAAAAGTCTGAAATGACTGGATTTGTTGTATCATCAGTATAACTTACAGTACACTCATATCTGATTTTCTTTCCGCTTCAACGAAATGTTAGAAATAAATGAAGTTTTGTCTTTTAAGACTAATAACTAATTACCTCAAGCTTGTTGCCCTAGAACATGACATATGTTTGTTGTTTCACAGTTTCTGTGGGTCTGGAATCTAGTTAAAGTTTGACTAGATCTCTGCTCAGGGCCTTACAAGGAAGGCTACAGTTTCATCTGAAGCATGGCTCTTACTCTATGTGCTCATGTAACACAACTCTTTCCTTATAGCAGTAGAGCTCCTGGCTGCTTCAAGACTACCAGACTTTCGGATCTCAGGGGAGGCCCGTGCCCTCTTAAAGGGCTGGCTTGATAAGGTTAGGTCCCTCATTCCCCAGGGTAAGTTCCCTTTGAGTAAGCCCCAACTAAACCAAACTAAATAGGTATCTTTATTACAGTTGAAAACTCCTTCCACATTTGATGCATTCTGGCCCATTCCAAGAGGAATTGTCCATTAGATTGACAGATCCTACCCTCTATTGGGAAGGTATGGTACAAAGTGTGTATACTTGGGGACCATTGTACATTCTACATGTTAAAAAAACTACAAAGTGTCAGAGTTGGAATACTTAGAAGTGATTATTCCCATACAGTACAAGCTAAATTTTTCATTAAGATTACCAACAAAAACTCTAGTTTGGCTTACCCCCAAAGTTATGCAGTTTGCATGTAGTGGTGTTGGAATTTGTAGGAGTTCATAAATTATAGAATAAAATAATCTGTCCTAATCATCTTAAAGTAAGAGTTAGGAGAAGGAATTGTCCAAAGTCATAAGGACCAGGTTAAGGCCTAGTTTTTACTTCCACTATCATGCAGTGTTTTCAATTAACTATTTAAATTTGTAAACCAATGCAAAAAAAAGTTTATGCAAATGAAACTCAGCTTTAGTCAAACCTTTTTAATGTGTAGATTTTATTTTTAAATTATTGCTATGTTAGAAATCTAGATTCTTATACCATTTTTACTTGTTTACTTGGCAAGATATAGTAAATGTTTCCCAGTAATTTAATATTAGAAAATCCAGATAACTTCAGTCTTATTCAAATGCTTTACTAGAAAAACCATGCCTAAAAAAATTGAACACTTTAATTTTAAGCTTCTCAAATAACACATTACTAGATGTTCGTTTTAGGGCTGGGAATACAGTTGAGTTTTATGACACTTGCCTGGCATGTGAGGAGTCTTGGATATTATCCTAGCACTGCAAATATATGTATGAGAGGTGTGTGTGGTGGTGGTGGTGGGGGGGGTGGTGGTGGGGGGGGGGGGGGGGGGGGGGGAAAATACACACATAAATGTTGCTACATAGGTGTCTAAATCACAGTGCGCATTGGTGGCCATAGAACAACCTTTAAAAAAAAAAATAGTTTTCACTGTGTTGCTGAGAACAGGCCTCTATTTTTCTGCTCATACCATCTTCATGCCTCAGCCTCCACGAAAGCTGAGCTTACTGGCACATGCCACTGCGTTTTCTTGTGTAATGCACATTAACTCTTCAATAAAGATTGCTGTAAAGCCTAGCAGTGTGATCAGAAGTAGTTGTCTGCTGGACTTTTTTTAATACTGCATTAGTCATGGGAAAGATAGAATTAACAGCTTTTTCTAGCAATTCCATTAAACCTGAATAGTCCTAAAAATAACAGGGCTTTAACAGAAATTTTGCTCTGGATGACTGTCATGCTGTTCTTTTTTCTGACATTAGTTTAATAGCATCTGTGAGACCTGCTGAGTATACAAAAAGTGCCTGCCACCATGGGCTGCAGCAGTCCCTTGTTGTTGCTGATGCTCTCTGCTGTTTCTTGTCTTTTCTCCACAGATTTCATCTCCCCTGTATCTCAAAGTATGCTGCCTATCCCAAGTTACTTAGCCTTTTTAAACTGTTGGTTCTTTTACTTGTAATCCTTTTAAGAAATTTGGGCCTGGTGAGATGGCTCACAGGGTAAAGGTGCTTAACACCAAGCCTGATGACCTGAGTTTGATCCCTGAAACCGACTTGGTAGAAGGAGAAAAACTCTCAAAAGTTGGCCTCTGACCTCCATGACTGCCTCCACACGCCCCCCCCACATATATATGAATATATAATAGAATATATATTTACATTTCTTTTTCTGTAACTCTTAAACCTTGTGTCCTTATTTTCCCTAACTGTATTTGACTTCTGATCTGGATAGCTGTGTTGGTGTGGTTTTTTATTTCCTCTTAATAATTGAATACCTCAAACTGGGGAAGTTTTAAAGAGTTTTACCTTGGGTCCAAAGGGCTACATCTAGTGATAGCCATCCTCTGGTAATCAAAAGTTTCACATGACAAGAGGTGGTTCTTTGGCCTGATATCTTCTTAGCCCACAAACATTGCATCATGAAGGCTCTAATGACTTTGTCTAGTCTTACCAAGTTCCAAATGCCCCACCTATAAATACCACTGTTGGATTAAGTTGTCAGCCTCAATGCCTCTGAATGGGTAAAGGCTTAAGAGACACAAACAATAGCAGTAGCTAATGGACTCTTTGACTATACTTGCTGTCCCTTACCCCCAAGGCAGTGTTTCTCTGTAGTTTTGGAGCCTGTCCTGGAACTCATTCTGTAGACCAGGCTGACCTTGAACTCAGAGATCTGCCTGCCTCTGTGCCTCTGCCTCTGCCTCTGCCTCTGCCTCTGCTGGGATTAAAACTATAATTGCTAATTTTACCCAAAGATTCCTCCAATCTGCTTTTACTCCTAATTAGAAAAAGCTGTTAGGAATATCTAATAATCTACAAGTTTTTATGGTATAATCAATCTGTAGTTGATTGCCTTCCACCTCAGTGCCCCTCTGCATCCCTCTGAGCCCTTCAGTGTATTTTTATTGTGTGTGTGCTCGGGTGTATGTGTCGCGCATGCAGAACACCACTGAGCTACATCCCAAACCTGCCTTTTTACCGTTTGGGGATATACTAATTCTATCTAACTCTCTAGCTTGACTAAAAAAAAAAAAAAAGTCTTTTTTCCAAAGAAAAATGTAAAGTTTCCATGATTTAACTCACAGTAGTAGATAACCTCTCCTACAGTATTAAGGGTTTTACTTCTGTTCAACTCTTCATGAAACAGCTTCTACCTCTGCTTCCCTTTTGATTTGCCAATGTGCTGCCTTCATGAACAGGCGAAATCTTCAACAAATCTGGTAGCTCCCAGTATTGCCAGTGCACCACCTATGTAACTCCTGCAGTTTGGCCACATCTGTATTTTCATAGCTGGCCTATTGGTCTCTTTAACATAGTGGCATCTCTGGTGATCTTAAACATTTAACCTGAAACATTACATATGTAATAGAGCTGGTACGGAGAAACTTTCTTATTCTCCTTTGAACCAGTTGAGGATTGTTGTCTAAATAGAGGCTTTGTTCTCATCCAAATCCACTGTGGTTAGAGGTGCTAAGAATACTGAAAACTGTCCCCCATTATCACTATCCCTGCAGTCCTTGTGCTCCCAGGTACAGGGAGGAAGGGACAAGTTATCTCACTTGTAGCCTGGTTTGTTTGTTTTTTTTAACTTCAGTCTTCTCCCTTGGATATTTTAAACCTATGTTCTTCAGGAAGTCAGGAATACAGCCAAGGCTATCTACCATCCTTCCCATCCCCATTGACTCATTTTGCAATATGTG